TATACTTTGTGAAACTGGATTTCTGGGTGCTCGACCGGCTTCTACTCCTCTTCCTCAGAACCAACGACTGGCTCTAGCACGTGGCCCACTTCTCACTAATCCAGAACGTTATCGCAGACTTGTAGGGCGCCTCATCTATCTCACGATCAGTCGTCCTGACTTGGCATATGCAGTTCATGTGTTGTCTCAATTCATGGGGGAGCCGCGTCAGGAACACTGGGACGGTGCGACCCAGGTTCTACGGTACATCAAGGCCTGTCCCGGGCAAGGATTGTTTCTTCCAGTACAGAGTGATCTTACCCTTAAAGCTTTCTGTGACTCTGATTGGGCTGGGTGTCCCTTGACTCGACGTTCTGTTACTGGTTATTTTATCACTCTTGGCGATTCTCCGGTCTCTTGGCGAACAAAGAAACAAAGTGTCGTTTCCCGATCTTCGGCTGAGGCCGAATACAGGGCTATGGCAACCACTGTTTGTGAACTAAAATGGCTGAAATCCCTGCTTTTCTCCCTTGGTGTGCGTCACAAACAACCCATGCGGTTGTTTTGTGATAATCAGGCAGCCCTCCATATTGCAGCTAATCCTGTCTTCCATGAGCGTACGAAACACATTGAAATTGATTGCCACTTTGTGCGTGACGAAATCCAACGAGGTGTTTTGTGTACTCGCCACATCTCCACCAATGAACAACCGGCAGATCTCTTTACAAAGGCTTTGGCTTCCGCTCCATTTTCCCATTTGCTGTCCAAACTGGGCATCCAGAATCCGCATGCTCCAGCTTGAGGGGGGGTGTTGGGCGGTGCTCCTTGGACCACACGGCAAGAAGGAGAGCAAATCCCATTCTAAGTGGGACTGCTCTTGATTTGTTTCCTTGTTCATATTTAGTGATTTGTTTCCTTGTAGGAATAGAATTCCTTTTGTGTTTTGGTCTTTATCCTCTCCTATAAATAAAGGAGAAACTCCTTGTACTTAGCAGAACAATTCAATATACAGAATATTTTCCCTCTTATTATTTTCTTCACACCCCAATGTCCCTCACCAGCTTATCGGTCACCAGCTTCTCCATCTCCCTCCAAACCCCTTCCATGTCAAACTCTGAGACTTCCCCGGGCTCTGGAGGCCGGCTTGCGCCTTCCTTAAAGAGGAATGGCCAATGAACCTATCATATCCCGCCGGTCATCACAAAACATGCGCATTTATAGACGAACGTAAATGTAACATATAGACATTATATGGTACGTCTATCTAAATATAATGAAGTTAAGCACGAATTAATTAATTAATTAATTAATTAATTAATTAATTACCAGATAGAGATCGAGATAATCCAGTTGTAGCTCTTCAAGTGTGCCCAGGAGTGCGGGGCGAACTCTTTGGGGTGACAACTCTGTACACCTGAATATATGATACCAAAGTTCGACAATTGTTGTTTGTGTAGTTCTGTGTCAAATTTGATGTCAAAAGGTTTATGTGAGTGAAATTTGCACTAAATAGGACTAAAACATAATGACTTTCCTAATGTAGGACTTAAACTTTTTTATTCCCTAAATAGGACTTAATAATGACCTCATGGAAGAAATAATGTCCAGTAATGATGGACATTTACTTGAATAATGACTACTTGATAATGACTAAAGGTCCTACATTGGGAAATAAAAATATGTGGTCCTATATAGAAAAAGTCATTATGTTTTTGTCCTATTTAGGTAAATTTCTCGTGAGTGACTATAGATTTATTCAAACAAAATAGGGACATGTGTGATTGAATCTGATATGATACCATAACTTGGAAGTAATGAACAAATTTTTTCTCTCAACTCCAGCTTGTATGGCCGCTTTCAGTCCTGTTCCGACCTCGTGCTGGACACCATACTCTGCAGCCGTATCAACGTGCCTATATCCACCCTGCACCCGCCCACAATTACATTTAGGCCCCATTTGGTACATGGAATTCAAACCATGGAATTGGAATTGAGGACTTCAATTCCCATTCTGGTATTTGGTAGCACAAAAATTATGTGGATTTAGAATTGATAGTGTAAAAAATGAATTGGAATTGGCAGAATTCAATTCTATGGAATTGAATCTCATGGAATTTCAATTCCAATTCAATTTTAATTCCGTCAATTCCATATACCAAACGGACCCTTATATGAAAGTGAATTTGGTCAAACCTCGTATTGTGTAATGAGAAATATTTTCGGAACGGAGAGAGTACAAGCTGTAACGTTCAAAATGGGGATAATTTAATTCGGTAGATTGATTTTTTTTAGAGAATTTAAAATGGAGAAATATCAACTAGAACTAAAACATGTAAAATACACAAAAATATGACCATCATTATATTTATATGAAATTAGAACTTATAATAGCAAATAATGATAGCAAATAATGAAAAACTAAATCTCCAAATATAGATCTTATTTGAGTAAAAATTTGATGTTTTGGTCTTATGAAGAAGGATTTCTTTAAATTAGTATTTGGAACTAACATTTCATTTCAATTCTTACATTACAATTCCAAAATCCGAACTCTTGAATTTCAAACGAAAAGGGAGGTATATATGAATTTGTCATTGAGCTTTGTTTTAAATTAATTAAAGAAATGTGTCTAAAATCTTAATTTAAAATTTTGCGGTATCCATACATAAAATTTGACCCAAATATAGATTTGAAATTAAAGTTCAAGTTCCAACATGCCATAAAGAATAAGTGGTTCACTGTTTTTCTTTTTTCTCTAAGAAATTTCATTCACTTTAGGAAAAAAGACCAAAGTAAAAAATAAAAATAGAAAATATACCAAAATAGTAATTTTATACTTTTATTCTCAAAATATGAGTTAAAATGCATTTAAAATACCAATCATGTCAATATATAATATCAAAAAATATTAGAAATGTTTATATACAATGCCACATTATCAAAGTATAAACTTTTATTTTGGAAATAAAAAATTAGAACTCTTAAATTGTCCCAATTAATTGAGGTTCTTAAATGAATAGCACTTTGCATAAAACAAAATAAAAAATCAAAATTTTTAAAATTTACGTTATTTACATTTAAAGATCAGTATAAAAATATGTGAAATAAACTTAGAAATTTAAAAAGGTGAGGTTCCTAAGACATTGATTCCCTTCTTAGAATTAACGATTCGTACCTCTCATAACCCCGACAAACTTCCTCATCCCGTGCGTCTCACCTTGAATCCACACCCCCACACCTTCAATTGCACCCTCCAAGTTTATTAATTTGGAGTCAAAATATTAACTCTAAATCAAATAAATTTGGAAGTTGCAATTGAAGGGGCGAGAGAGTGGGTTTGGGTCGGGGAAGGGTTGGGGATTTTGTGGGGGAGCTACGAGGGGTAGGAATCATCAATTTTTCGAATGAAATATCATAGGTGCCCAGGTCATGCTATGACATTGCCCGAGAATATAATACTCCCTCCGTCCCGGAGTATTCGTCCAGTTTTGAGTTTTGGAACTGTTCATTTGGAGTGATTTAGGAGAAAAACTTGCATATTTGCGTTGATTAATTCTAGGATGTACTGATGGGTAATACCTCAACAATAGCAGTGAAGACATTATGTGGAGGGTGTTGGGCTTTCAACCGCGGGGATGAGATGCCCACTCGGCAGCCTGAAACTTCCCACTTTCTCATTTTCTGCCGTTACCGTCATCTGTGCCATCTTTTCTTTTCTTCTCTTTCTGCTGGATTCTGATCTGCTACTGCTTCCTAAGCTAGCTTCGCAATTTAAAACAAAGGTCTGGTCTGCTTTATTTATTACTCCGTATTAAGGAGGGAGTTCTTAGCTAAGCTAAGATTCCACACATGCAGCACAGGAGACGACGTACGTACGTGTGGTGGTGCTTTGTGTAGTGCGTGTCCCACAGATGGGTGTTCTACGTGTCCTAGCTAGGTTCTAGATTTCGTGAGATGCTTCCATCAGTAGCCCTGCACCACGTACTCTATATTCAATTATCGTCGCTGCACATATCATCTCCTTCACGGCTTCACTCAACACCTGTGTAAAAAATACGGAGTATTTTTTTTATACTCAGCTCCCTCCATTCTAAAATAATCTTTTCTTTATGAGGTTTGACTGAAATGATTTTCGATTCAATTTCTTTGATTATAGATGTAAAAGTAAAACTAAAAATTAAATATTTTAAAATAAGTCAAAAATTCTACAAAAAAAAAGGTGACATGACTATATTATTTTATCAAATACCTAACGAATTAGATAAGGAAAACGATTAAAGTTTAACCATGTGAATGGTGAATGAGAAGATCATTTTAGGAAAGAGGAAGTAGATAATTTATTTTGATGTTTTTTTATTTCCAATTTTTTTGTTTTATTTTTCCATCTAAACCCTTTTCTTGTTTATCTTTCTTTTGTGTTCAAACTTTATTTTGTTTTTCTTTAATTTTATTTAGTGTTACGTTGTTTCATATGACACATTTTAAAAAAAGAAAAAGATAACATGTTTTGTAGAAATATCTAGCTTTTACTTTTTTTATAGCAAAACAAAAAACTGTTTAAATTAATTAAAAAAGAATATAAGCGAGAATTAATTTATATTTAAAACATGTTTTGTTATAAAAGTAGGGGTGGGTTGGAAAAACCAAAAACCAAAAACCAAACCGAAATCGATCGAAACGAGCTACAAAAAAAACCGAACCGAAAAAATCGAAATCAACTGTAAAAAAACCGATCACCGAACCGTTAGTGTTTGGTTCCGCTTTGGTTTTCACTTTGAAAAACCGAACCGAATAAACCGAACTTTCTTAGATACTTCACTTTACTTATATAAATATATGTGATATGTAGAAAAATCATAGAAATATAAATGCAAATAAATTACTAATCGATTAAAATTATTTTCTTATTTATTAATTAAACATTCTAGCCATATTATTATAAACTTTAAAAAAATCTAAGAATATGAACATCAATAGCTAATCCTAATATAGAATTGTATTAACATTAAAAACTGATATGAGTACTTTATATATTTACATAAAAAATACTTTGATGTTACGTTATAATGAAAATGAAAGTATCATTTCAAAAAATATAAATTCTTCGTAATTGATTTTACATACGATGTCTTTGGAAGTATTTGGAATTTTCTAAATGTTTGTTTGGCAATCAACATATATTTTTTATGTAAAATTGAACCGAAAGGAACAATAACCTTCCATTTGGTTTTCGTTTTTGTGTAAAAATCAAACAAAAACACCAAAGCTAATACGGAGTACTACACATTGTTATTGTATCGAGTTAGTGTTTTTACAATTTTTTAATTCTTATAAATTTCTACTTTTATAAACCGAAAAATAGAAAAAACCGAAATAAAAACCGTATAAAACCAAACCGAATAACCAACGATTTACATATTCCGTATTTTTTATGCAAAACTGAACCGAATCGAACCGCCAATTTACCTCCGTTTTGTCTTTGGTTTTTGGTGAAAAATGAACCGCCAAAACCAAACCCACCCCTATAAAAAATTATATATTTATATATGGTTTGTTCAATTCAGAAGTGTTTGAGCGTTAATATAAACGATACTGATGGGCCGATACCCAACGGGCGGCCCAAACATCGCACCAAACGGCGATGGGTCACTGGAGCAGGCGTGATGCGGTTCCGGGGAGGAAACTCAGCTGAAAGCGGAGATATAGCCGAAGAAAGGGGATCGCGCCATTGGCAGATTGGATGTGTGAGGTCTTGATTAGAGACTAGAGTACAAATCGACCTAAACTAAGATTTGTTCGATTGATGTGAATTCTTAATTGTTTTTTTACTCTGTCAAAGTCAAACACCCAAAAAAAGGTGTAAAAAAGTACTACAAATAAATATAAAAATTATACCGTTGTGTAGAGTTTGACTGATCGCAACGGTACAATCGGATTTTAATCCCGAGAAAGTTGGACCAAAAAGTGTACTCAGACTGGGACCAAAATTAGTCCGAATCGGCGTAGCCCCCTCTACTACGCAAATCGATCACAGATTATGCACACGAGCTTCTCTGGCTTCTTCTCCATCTTCTTCACTATATAAAGACCACTACAACTCCCTCAATTCCTTGCCAATTTCTACAATTCTTCCTTCTACTATGTTCCTTGTAGTGTGAGGAGTACAGTGGTGTTGTCCAGAAGTTGCGAGATCGCCAGAGCTAGCCACAATTATGAACATTGAATTGAATATTATGTGCATGATATCAAAGGATTTGATTATGAAATGAGATTTAATTTATGTAGATTTTCGATGCATTAGAAATCCTTACTCAACTTCACCGCTGAGCATGTAGTATGTTTTATTTGCTACACGCAAGTAAACAGAAAGAATGATGTAGCGTGATCCGGGCGGCAGGCAGGGGCGAAATTGTCAAGATGGATGTGATGGCTTTGAACTGTTATTTCAAAAGACATGAAATAATTATATTTTATGATTGTGATTTGTTAAGCTTCTGCAACGTTGAAAACTCTGTACTGTTTCTGTTATGAATATTATATTATTTTGTGGTGAATAAAAGTGTTTGAAATATTTTAAATTTTACTATTATCAAGTTAATACTTTAGTCCGAAATGGGCTGCACACTTAGACAGATTAGGGTGTTACAATTTAGTATTAGAGCAAATGATTTTAAACCTGATCTTCGGATCAAAATTTGATAAATATTGACTGTATTAAATTCTCATTAGATGATAACTGTTAGTACTGAAATCGTATCGAGTGTCGATTCAAGTCGAACTTTTATATTTGGCCAGAGATGGATGAATAAGCGAAAGGTGTATGACTCCTTAATCCGTTATCAACGTGCTCATCGCATTACGAGAATAACTAAATTGAAAATTTATTTGCACCGCAAAACCGCATGAGAACGAGACGAACCTGAAGAGACATATAGTGTTGATTTCGCAAATAGCATTCCGGTAGCGAACATTTATCAATAAATCCTATCGTTTCTTCTCAAAATCCTTTCGACTGTGTACAGTCATGCAATTGTTGTATTTCCTTGTGATTTCTATTAATCAACTCAACTACTCAAATAAAGAATCCTAATAAAGGAATTCATGTTATTTATAGAATGAGTCATGAATCCGCACACGGTCAAGCTAACCAAGGGCCAAGAATGAACACGTGAGCATAAGCATTGAATTTCACTCCTCCTATTCAAAATGAACAAGTGAATCCACAAAATGTCCCATAGAATGTAGAGAATAATAAAAAAGTTGGAGGTCAACCTAATTTGATGATGCATGTTTTTATGGCAAATTTTCTTCAACAAATGGCGAATGCCCCCATGTTTTAACTGTTGCCACCACCACCACCTTGTCATATCACCTTCAAAACTCTGAAGGACAATGGCACCGAAGAGTTTCTAGGGGGATAAAATTGCAGAACCCCAGCTTGCTCTAGACTGGATTGAACAAAGCACTCGAGTTTTGAAAATTTTGAATGTGCCTTTAGAAAACGGCCCAAAACTCACATCTCAGTTACTCCGCACTCCGCAGAGGAGCCTATGAGTGGTGGAAACGCAGTGATGAGGATCAGAATACACCTAAACTTTGAACTTGGTAATTTTTTGATTGGGCGTTCAAGAAAGAGTACATCCCAGCTTGATTCTGCGAGGAGAAACACACCAAATTTGTAGAACTTAAGCAAGGGAATATTACACTCCCTGAATTTCGAAAAATGTTTATCCACTTTGATCAGTTCGCGCGAACGCTGGTAAGCACAGTGACTGACTGCATCGAGGAATTTCGAAAGGCTTCGACCTGATATTAGGCCACATGTGTATTATTTCTACATACAGTGGATTTCACAGGATCATATGACTTGATTGCGAAAGTAAAAAAACATGTGAGCGACTATAAGGAAAGTCTGAAGACTGAGAGTGCAGGTTCGAGCACCCAACCAACCTCAAGTGTCACCCCAGGTGGGAAGAGACCCTCTGTTGGGTCCAACAGTGCCCAACACTCGAAGAAGGACAAGTCAATGTCAACTCAGCCAGTGGTATCTGGAAACAAGTTTAGGGCGTAGAAGTATCCAATGTGTAACATGTGTGGAAGACATGCACCACCAAGAGGCTAGGAATGCTCGCTTGCACAAGATTATGTTTACGTTGTGGCAAACCTCGACATTTCCGAAAGGATTGCCCGACCAATCCTAGAAAGCCTTTCTCAACTGCTCTAGTCATAAACCAGTTAGCTTCAACACGTCCATCACCTAGTCAACGCTCGACGACGGGATACAACCCATTGAGAAATCAAAACTAGCAACATGAATGAGCTCTTGCACGTACCTATGCTATGAAAGGTCTCGTTGAACAAAACCCGATGTTATCATGGGAATGTTTTCTTTGTTTGATACAAGCATGCATGTATTGATTGATCCTAGATCCACACTGTCTTATATCTGTGTGCCTATGTCTGATGAATTTGATATTCCAAAAGAAAACATAGAGTATCCTATACTAGTATCTAATCTATTAGGGCACAGTATGTGATTAATCATGTGCGTCGAAATTGTCCGTTTATTTTCCAAGAACGACAGTTCCCTACAGACCTCATTAAATTACCATACAAGGAATTTGACATTATCCCTTGTATGGATTGGCTGGCTGAACATCATGTTGTTATCAATTGTGGACGAAGGACTCTTCAACTGAGGACCGATGATGATAACCTCATAGAGGGGAAATAAAAGTTGATTTCTA